CTTGATTTAACTTTACAAGGCTTCAACTAAGCCAATGCGTTCGGCTAAAACATCCCCACAATTGAAAACAAACTTCAACCATAATATAAAATAGTAAAAATGCATAGAAGATGGAGATGAAGGGTAGGGAAGACTTACCCAACAAGAATTTAGCCCCAAATACTCCCAAAGTGATATTAAAGTCAAGCCTTAACAGCTAAAATATTATCCTTTATTGCCTCTTATGTTTTTCTCCCTTCCTCTTCCATTTCTCAACTGAAATTTGCAACAAATTTATCATAAATATGTCTTGTCCGCCATAGCACACTATCCCTTGGCCATGGCAGATGGCACAATAAAGCCAATCTAAATTTTAGCTTTGCACATCAGTTCGGTCGACCTAAACTCCATCCTGGCTTATTTTAACATCTGTCCAATGATCAAATAACCTCATTAGTAGTTCAAAAACATCATCAACTTAAAAAACACTCTCAAGTTTACCAATTTACCCCTTTTTAGACACTAAACATTGAAAGTTTGAAATTGAGGCTATTACAACTTACCCCTCTTTATTAACATATTACAAGAATGAATTTAGGAAAGGCCAAAGGGCAAGCATCAAAGACATAAGACTGAGTTTCCTATTGTAATGCTTTGGTTTATTTGAAAATATGTGTGCTATTATTATAATAATGCCAACTAGGACATTTGTTTTGTTACACTTGCACCAATTTCATCCTACTTGTGATATGGTTGTGTTTTTTGCCCTAGGTGTTACATTATGTGAAAATGATAGTCTAGGTAGGGTCAAAATATATTTGTGTAAGTATGATTATTGCTATTTTGTGAATTTTGATTTTCAAATTGTTGAAAATGGTATTAAACCTCCCCGTCTTGATTTTGGTTGAATATGGGGGTTAGGGATTGAAAATGGATTGTGTGGTGAATTGTTATATTATGGTGTATTATACAAGTTGTCCTAAATTCTTTGAGTATGACCTAAGTATGGGTTAGCTTTTGGCACTTATGTTGAAGTTAGATACCTTGAAAGTGGTTAAGGGTGAAAAAAGTGATTATTTTGGTTCCAAATGTTCAACATCATGATATGGTATTATTTTGAAAAAAAACAAGTACCATTAGCTAGTTTACTAAATAAGCTTTATGTCGAATCTAGATCACTCCAATTGATCATTAAACAAAGATTTAGGACGTGCTGAAAGTTTGACTCCGAATTTAAACTAATAGAGAAAAATTCTATCATTTTTTGCTGTGTCATACATCACAGCGCACGTCATAAGGGCTCACTAGTCATGATGCATCATGCCTTAGCTGCAATGGATGACCCATTTTGTGAAAAATAGCCTTTTTTTTAACCTTGTTTTCTAATGTTTTTCAAATTTCAATTTGTATCCCTCATTTCTGTATGTTTTTCTAACTCTAATAAATGTTGGGTTCTTGTCTTGAAAAGCTTATTTCCATAAGATTAAACTTGGGATTCTATTTTTACTAAAGGTTTTATGTTGGTAAATTAAATTTTGAATTTTACTCACATAGTAGCCCATTAATGTTTAGTGTTCTCTTTATACCATCATAAAATGTTAATATTGCTTTTAAGTGCATAAGTCAAAATTTAATAACCATAATAGACTTTTAAAATCAAGTCATTTCTTTTCTACTGTAGTTAGGTTTTATAATTGCAGTTAAGTTCTATTTTCCATGGTCAGGTTGCTAAAGTAATTATTCCCTAATTTCCATGGTAATATGTGATTATTTATGTTTTTCATGCAACTCAACCCTAGCTTATTAATTGCCTTTTTTGCCTCATACAAAGAAGTTGGAATTTTTGTCTAACTAAAAGCAATTTTCAATAGTTCTAACGGCATTGACATTCTCTTGTCTCTAGTAATATATAAACATTTAATATAAAATAATTTAATCAAAAAAGATAACTTGGTATAGCCATCGCACACAAGATATAATGCCTGCTCCCCATCCATCATAAGGTCGAAAAATCTTTTGCTTCCTGATTCCCAGCATACTAGGGATCCAACCTCATACTTCGTTATCACCATCTACTTTAAAAGCATCACGAACTACATCAATTATAGGATATAAACCCTCTTCTTGAATAGTTGTTTAGGATAAAGCATTCTACAATATTCCCTAGTTAGTATACGAGCATGGGATTGACTTAAAAAATTAAAGACATATTTATTAAATAATGTTATACCCCAATAGCATCATTGTTCAAATTATGTCTTTTACCATACATTGCCCAATATGTATAACCTTGTAGGAAAGGTTTGATGTTAAATGCTTCTAGCCAGTCTTCTTGGATGCCACTTATTTAAATGACAATTTCGATACGAATAAATAATATTTTCATCAGCACTCATGTATAAGAAAGCAAAGTCCAAAAGCTCATCATCAAGGATGTTGTCCAAGTTGAACATGAAGAGCATGAGAGCAAGAATTTTTGGAAACTTTGTGACGGATGGGAGATTTTAGAAAGGAAAGCCCAAAGAAAAATTCGCCAAAAGTGGAAAAATAAGGAGGGTCATGGCTTTTATGGACATGATGATTGTAGCAATTCGTGAGCAAACCGCTACAATATTGGTAGTGATTTACACTAAAATTACTTCCCAAACTACAACCAATTCCAACAAATGGGTAAGACTGCTATTAATACACTTTCAAAATGAAATTGGTTCAGACATGAACCACTATGGGACCGGCCACAACCCTTGACTATCCATTAACCGAAAGAACTTGGTAGCTGTTTGAGCTCCAAATCGTTACGAAGCTTGTGGCAATTTGATCATACAAACCACTAACAATGTTTCACACCATTTGGCACCTTTAATTGTTGTGGTTTTTGTGAATGGTTACCATGTTTGTTATGATTTTGAATAGAAAAACTGCTACGAAAACTATTACAATTTTTCTCGCCAAAAGACATGGATCAAACCGTGACATGATTGTAATGGTTTGGGTCAAAACTACTGCAATATTTATCTTTTGTAGCAGTTTCACATAACCGCTACAATATAACTTCCTTTTTTTTTTTCACAGTGACTTTAACTTGCATCCTGATTTGGTAATAGTTGCATACTGTGGTGAAGCTTTCATCAATTGAATAAGCGTCTAAAGCAGCAGAGAATACCCACAAATGACAAGTTATAAGATTTAAACAATTATAATGCAGCAAGTTCAAGTAAAGGTTAACAAAAACATGACTACATGAGCTGAAGACATAGAAGAAACAATCATAATAAACCACCCTAGTTTGGTCTATGAGAATTGAGCCAATCCTCCCTTGGCTCAGCGAGAGGTTTTTCTCCAAATATTCACTATCCTAACTTTACAAGGCTTTCCATGATAAAAATAATGAAGGTTTACCCAAATCGAATGAAAACTTGGACGGTTTCATTCAAACTAACCCACGATTAGGTTTCTTTATACTTCATTCCCTTAACTTTCCTTGAATTTTAAGGCCTTTAAGTGAATATATGCGCCTCACTTGAATACCGTCAAACTAAAAGTGACCCCAGCACAATGAAGCTTATTTACTTGCCATATGAATTAAGCTTGAATAGAAAGCACAGATGAAAAAAATGTTTACAGACTTTTGTACAGTTTGCTTCTGCGCTGAGATGATATTTAATTATAGGTATGCTACATGTAATTGATTCCTTCCCCCTTTGGTTTTTCTGACAGTAGTGTTGTCACCAAGCACCAATACATGCGGCTCTAACCCTGCAAGGTAATGTATGAGAATATGGAGATGTGAAATTTGATCATTGTCTCGTTGCTTCCTTTTGTGCTGTCCGGGTGCTCTGCAGATGAAAAGTTTCTGTTTGGAATCTTTGTATGAACATGTCTTCATAGTTGATGGTTTCTTCAATTCGTTGTTGTGATTCTCTCGCCTTAGTTCTGCTTCGTGTTTCAGGCGTGTTTGTATCTTGAATGATTTACTGTGTATTTGGCCTTTATCGTTAATTAAAAATAACATTAGATATGGGAGATCCATTAGTTTAAAAAAAAAGGAAAAAAGAAGAAGAAGAAGAAAGGATTAAACAATGCACATGATTAACCTCAGATCTATGAATTCTTTTCACTTGTAAATTATTGTTTTTTTTTAACCAAACTTGAGAATTTTCTTCTTAATCTATCTTATAGTTTTATCTGATTTTAAATTTTTTTTATTTTTGTTAAGTCATTCATGATATGTCCGTTGAATGAATTGCATATGAAAATGGTGGCATGAGATTAGAGACGCAGGTGGGCTTGGATGTTTGTGAATCTTATTTTATTTAGATAAATCACGAGTATCATATCACCGTCAACTTATAGATGATGATGATAGCAAATAGTCAAGGGGCCTGGGCCACTCGGATAATTCAATACTAGGGCGGGGGTTGCCCTGCTTGTGGGTAAAGGCAGACATGTGGAGTTTGGTGTCACGGAAGACCAATATGCTCTCTTTAAATGACGTCACCCGTTTGATGTTGACATCACTTTCGCTTGTGTCCAAGATCAGTGTTATTATGCTAACACTAGTAGTAAATTACTACAGTCGAGGCTATTCATCTCTATACTGTTTTTCTCCATGCAAGCGCTCTTATTTTATTTTATTTATTATTATTATTATTATTATTATTATTATTTTGCCTAGTATTTTGCGGACAATGGCCCTCTGCCATTTTTGTAGGTCTCGCCTCGGCCTCTCTCTTGTGAATGAATTCCTCATTTTCAATCAAAAAAAAAAGTAAATTAGAAATGTCTCCATCCATTTTCAAAATTTTATTAATTTTTTAACATGTAATTATTACTTTTTTTATAAAATAAAATATTTTTATTAATAATAATTTTATATTTATTATAAAGTGTTTAATAAAAATAAATATAAAAAAATACAGTTAGTTGAAAAATAAATAATTATTATTAATAAATAAAATTTAATTAAAAATATTTTATATTTATTAAGAGATGGAGTACTTGTTATTCTCTGAAAAAAAAAATGAATAAAAGAAATCATGATTGCATATTACTAAAATAGTAGCAACGCATCGCGACACTTGCCTAACGAACTTGATGGTTTGGGTTGACTACGGCAGCCATCGATCGAAGTCTGCTGCCCGAAAAAAGAAAAAGAAAGGATTCATCAAAATTAAAGTCAAGATTTGGTGATAAGTAGGAGCAGAGCAGGAGCACTGTTAGCAGCTAGTTGTTATTAGCTAGGGATGCAAGTCCTTGAACGCTTCCAAACTGAAGTCGCTTAAACGAAATGAATGTGGGAAGGGAATGGTCAAATCATGTGTAGTTGGCGGTTAGTGCAAGCCATGGATGCCTTTGATCTGCATAGATTAGATTAGCATAGCTATTAGCTCCCAACGTGGCTCTCCCACAACATCAACATCTCCAATCACTCACTCTAATATATCTAAGGGATGAAGGGGCTAAATCTGTTGCATACGTCTAATGATTTCTGGTCCTCGCAGAAAAAGAACCTGAGGGGGCATCTGAACAGACAATTGTCCCCCAACGTCACATTTGCAGAACCCGGTTTGAGTAGCAGTAAGGGGCTGGGGATGCCCCCGATCAAGTAATTCCCTCTTAGCATCAGCCTCCCAAACGGCGATGTTCCCAGTCCCGGAACCACCGTCTTCAGAGCGTACTGGGTCGGTATCATTCCCGTGAACTTGTTGTTCTCTAACGACAGTGACGATAGCTTCGGCATCACTCCCATGAACCAAGGCAATGGCCCCTGAATCTCGTTGTTGCTCAGATCAACCGCTATCAGCCCGCTCTGCCATCCAGCATTGTAAGATGGCGCCTCCATGGAGGACAGTTTGTTGAACGAAAGACTCAGCTGCTCCAGCGAAGGCAGCTCAAACAGAACTACGGGCACAGTGCCCTCCAGACTGTTATAACTCAAATCTAGCACCTGCAAGTCCATCAGCCCTTTGAAGCTCTCTGATCTTAAACCTCCGGTCAAGCTATTGTTCCTCATTGAGATCTCAACCAAGGATTTGGGCAACGTCGCCGGGATTTCACCGGCGAAGGCATTGTCGCTGATGTCGAGGTAGTAAAATTTTTCTAGAGAACCGAGATCAGGAATCTCGCCGCTGAGACTGTTGAGCTGAAGTTCGAGCCTTTTCAAGCTCTTGAGCCCGTTCAAGCTAGAAGGGATCGTTCCCCGAAGATTATTGTTATCGAGGTACAGCTCTTCAAGATTAGACAGGAAACCAATGGAAGAGGGAATCTCGCCGTCCAACAAATTCCCGGACAGGGCGAGCCGGCGAAGACGAGTAAGACTGGAGAAGGACTCCGGAATCCGACCGGAAAAGTAGTTGTCAGATGCATCGAGAGTTTCTAAATAAGGAAGGTTCCAAGACGAGGTTGCGAGAGAACCTGCGTAAACAGCGTGGTCCAGGGCGATTTCGGTGACCCGACTCGAGCCGGAGACGACGACGTCGCAGCGGAAGCCGCAGGTGAATTTCTCGCCAAAGAGGTTGTCGCAAGGGTCGACAGAGAAGTCCCAAGAAGCAAGACACGAACCCGGAGGGACGGAAGCGTTGTGAAGGCCGTTCTTGAGGTGCTTGAGGGCCTCGATATCTCCCCAATAAGTGGTGGAAAGTGCAGGAAAGAGCAAGGGAGAAGCTGAAAAAATCAAAATCAGAGAAAAGAGTGGAGAAGGGAGAGAAGCCATCAGGGATAGAAGGAATCAGAAAAGTGGGACGAGTGTTGGGAGTGAGGTTGTTTTGCAGGCGAGTCACGGGTATTATATGTCAGAGAATTGGGAAAGCTGCTCGTTTTTTTTTTTTTTAAAGTTGGCAGAGGTGTTGGGATGGCCAGGAAGGAAGCATATTTAGGCTTTTTATACAGAGAGGCTTTGGTGGGGGCAAGGATGGAACCACTGAGGAACAGAACATAGACGCATTGGGGTGACGGTCCTATGACCAGTTTTGTTCTCTCATGCGTGGCGGTCCCTTATTTTTTATTTTTACTAACGGTTATGTGCTTCATAAATTTCTATTGAGATTGCAGTCTAAAATCAGATGCATGTGCGCGTATATAACAATATCAGGCTCACAATTTAATGGCTGGATGCTGGAGCTGGACTATCCTCATCCTCATTTGTTCACAGACCAAAGAGAAATATAAAAATCCACGTCTTACTCCTCAAGCTGAATAGAAGGACGTACAGTAGGCGCATGGTGGAGATTGAGACTCGTGAAATATTAATAGTTAAAATTAATTGCCACTATTTAAATGATGAACAGTCAAAATTATGGGGAAATAATTTTCCTTTCTTCCGGACAGGCGCAGGATGAGAGAATCGGATGCTGGGATGAGGTGGGCCATCTCATGGGATGGGCGAGGAGGCCCAACGTCAAAGGATCGCTAGTATTGTTTCCTTGTTAGGTGCTGGTTAACCAACCACGTTAGTCATGTGATAACAGAAACCTTCCACGAGCCTCTATGCAATCATGCCAAGCAATGCAAAGTAGCTTTCTCTATCATGAAAATATTTCATTTTGCAGTGTTCCATAATCCATATCCAAAAGGAAATTAAGACAGCTTTTTTAGACTACTAATCACTAATCTTTTTATGGTTTATCCATCTTAAATATTGTGACTTTTAGTAATCTGATTATTTCAATTATATTTCAAAAGACTTCCTACTTATGAAACAAATTCATCAAATAGAAGCTACTTTTTTAATATGCTTTTCCTCCTTTTTTATTTTCCAGAGGGTCGAACCAAAATAACAGAAGTTCTATTCAGGAATTCAAAAATATCAATATGGAATTTTCGGGGCAAAAAATCTGTGTCCATTGCATGTAATGAAAAATAAAATAAAGTACCTCTGTAAATGTCATACTGCTTGTGTCTGTATTGGAAATAAATGTGATCTAACCAATAAACCACGCTTTAGAAGTCTAGAATAGTAGACTCATGCATCAACCTTCTCACAACACAATGGTTTACCTTTAATCAATTACATAATATTGATTATTATAATATAGCAATATTATTATATATCTGATTTGAAAATATTGAATATTTGAAACCAAATAAATTACGAGCCAAAAACTGGACAATAAGGTGAGGGCGATGCATGCACAAATTATTGGAGGTTTTTCTTTTGACCTGGAGGTGACAATTAATTAAAAAAGATACTATTTGTTTCGCGATCTCACACAATGTGTTAAATAACTGTCCTTTACAGAGACGCGGTCTTGTTTATTTATTTCTGAGAGGCATCCAATTGAGGGGCGGAAGGTCACTCTCTCTGTCAAATCAGGACCTTCCACATCAAAGTAGTTTGGCCAGGGACAGGGACAGCAGGAGCTCTCAGTCACACACTCATTTAAGTTCCTAACTACACTAATTAAATATACTCAATCTTTCTCCATGTTTCTGTTTTCGTGTTTGCTAAACTTTAGACGTTTTCCATTCTGCATCATTTGTGGCTGCATACTAAACGTAGCAAAGATACGAAGACTCACTAAGAAATTAATATAAGAAAGCAAACAAGCAGCAAAGCATGAATGCAGAATAGCCAGATTAGTGTTTTCGAGTAAAGGATAGGAAAGCGAAAATAAATTTACAAGTCCAACGCCAATATGATACACTTAAGCGAGGCGCAGATCCTCTGATCTCAACCCCATTCCATGATGGTGAAGATTCATGTGGGCAGGCAGCTGGTGGCCCAGTCCATGAAAGTTGGAGGCGCCAGTGGCCACTGTAACTGCTGATTCCTGATCTCCTTCCTCGTGCACCAGATATTGTGAATGGATCACACACCTTTCCTACACACATTCCATCAAACTATCATCACAACAAAGTCCATTCCAGATTGCGTTCTTCCATTACTATCTGTATGGACAACAAACGTTCTTACAAGTTCAAGCAGCAGATTCTCGTTCATCTGCTCCATGCTTCTCACCTTCATATTCAGTCCCACCAGAAAATTGTAAAAAACCGATGCTTTCTCAGAAGAATCTCGTGTGTCTTCTGTGTGTGCACGGGAGTGAATTAAAAAAACAAAAACGAAAGGAATGAAGGGTGATTTCCTGACCTTTTTCTTACTGGTAGTGGTGCGAGTTTTGATCACATGAAGCTGTGAAAACATACACGAATATACCACATTAGTGTAAACATAACCAGCAATCATCCCTGAAAGCATATACATGCATAAGAAATGCCTGAAGAAGAGAAAAATCAAATAAATCGTCCGGAATAGCCAAAGAAAAGGGAGAAACTTCAGAAAATTGGATTTCTTTAACTTATTAGGAAACCAAACGGGAGAGACGCGTGGTTCTTGAAGCGATGGTTAAGCAGCAAATTAAAGGGGGGGAAAACATCGACCCGGATTTGCTTTCAGCGTCTGCAGATTAAACTTGACGCAGGTACGGAGAAAAAGTAAAAACAGCTGTACTTCAAAAGATTTAACCTTTCGTTCGCGTATGATCGCCGAGGCAGAAACCATGTCCTCCTCAAGATTGCGTAGTTGTTGGAAGTCCAGATCATTCAAATCATCACCCATCCGCTGCCTTGAAAAATCACAACTCCATCGATCAAATTTGGAGTACAGAAAGCGCATAAAAACTATCCTTAGATCTATTTACCTTATCTGTCTTCTGAGTTTATTGTTAACCTCTTTCAGCTTCTTCATGTTTTCGAGCATCCTCTGCCAAACATACAGAACCCATAAGGATTCACCAGGAAAACACCCAACACAATCGTTAAATATTACGTAAAAGACGAGCGTCCAATAAACCTCATATTGGGCATTCCAGAGATCGATATTCCCCAAGGTCCTCTGGTACTGATCTATTATATTTTTTGTTCTGCTGACAGAAGATGTTAGAAAGCAAGAAAATAGAACAGAAAAAGGAGTGACAGAGTGAGGGAGAGAGTACGGACGTAAAGCCAGGAGTAGTGTACTCATGCATCTTATTGTTTTTGGAGAACATGACGAGGGAAACCTTGGCATCACAGAGAACACTGAGTTCATGAGCTTTCTTGAAAATGCCATTGCGCCGTTTGGAGTAGGTGACCTGCCTGTTCGTGGCATTCTCGATCAACTTGATCTCAATCTTTCCGCGACCCATGTTTATCTGCTCTGTCTTCCTTCTTCCCAAACACATAAATCTGAGGGGTATCAGTACATGTTCGGATATATAAAAGAGGTGTGAACTTTGCAGGCCAAAAAAAAAAAAACAAAAGAAAAGAAAACACTTGAAGCAGGGGAATGGGAGAACAGTGAACAGTGAATAGGCTTTCCAAACCAGGAAAGCTAAAGGGAAATCGAAAAAGTTAGGTTGGAGTGTAACTGCGAATAATGCAAAATTGGTGAAAGAGTCTATAAAGCAAGTGATGAAATAACATCAATCATTTCCTTAAGATATTCTTCTCCATGTGAAAGAGTCTATAAAGCAAGTGATGAAATAACATCAATCATTTCCTCGAGATATTCTTCTTCATGTGTAGCGTAAACAATCTCCGTCCTGATTTGATTGATGGCCGCTAAACTTGTTTATCGCCATTCATTCTCATAAGAAAGCCCATTACGGTAATCCCCTGGTGGATTAGATCATTAGACAAACCCCAAAACATCATCGCGTCTGAAGCTTTACGATCCAAGAATTGATTTCATCAGTAAAGATAGAAAAGAAAGGACAAACCATTTGAAGCGATGTCTTTTTCTGTCTAAACAATAAAGTGGCTGACCGTACAAAGGAAGGTGGGCCTTTCCTATTTTTCGGAATTGTGCATTTTAATGTTCTAAAAAGGGATTGAACACTATTTCCACTTCGGAAAAGCATCCCAGTTCTCTAACCTCCCTCTCTTGCCCTGCGCCATAAGCCCATAATCAAAGTAAAAGAATTTTTGTTAGTACATCAATGAATAAGAGATTTAAACAATGATTAAGAGATTTAAATTTTGTAATGTCCACATATGATTCAGATATATTTGTCTTTGAAATTACAATCACACGGATAGACGAGTAATTGGTTCCCCAGGTAGTAACAGTGTCATGGGCTGGCAATAGGGAGGACTAGTACTTAGAAGTATAATCCCACGAGGTGAAGGAAAAAGTTCGAAGACATTAATGTTGTTTTGTTTTGTTTGTTGAATGTCGGGCGAGACTAAGGGCTGGCCTGACAGATCGTCCATTTAAATTTTTTTTATAAAAATTTAAACTTAAAAAAAAATCATTTTTTAAAAAAATTAAGTTGTGAAGCCCAGTTTTAATAAGCTTTAAAAAACGGCTTCCGACTCAAGCCATCATTTTAGACCCTTTTTCATTTTAACTTGAAAAAATAAAATATTTTTATTTTTAAAATTGAATTTATACTTTAAAATTTAATTTCACATTATTATTTTTAATTTTTTAATATTATAATTTGTATTTTAAAAATATGAAATGTTATAATTAAAATTTTTAATTTTTAAAATATTTAAAAAATAAAAAATAATAATAAAAGGTTTTAGGTGAATCCTAAAGATCAAACTTTTAAAATCAAATAATTTTTAAAAAATCAGGCTTAAAAGATCCCTGTCATTTCCCACCTCTAGTTGCAGGGGAAGAGGAATGAGTCCCATCCCACCTTTCTCTACTAACAGACGAAGGCAAGTGGGTCTTCCGACTAGTTAAAAAGCTGTGGTGAATTTCACTTTCTTTTCAGCCTCATTCAGCCTTTTCACCTTCCTTTTATCTCATGGCAACTACTAAAGACGCATTGTGATTGTGGATTTTCTTTTTCCCTCTTGCCGTCTTCTGAGGTCATGAAGAACGATGACTCAGAGATCTTAAATAATGAACAAGTTTCCCTACTTTCATCGGCCGAAAGAATTATGTTTCCCTATCTTCTGTGCCTAGGCTTAGGCCTTGCTGGATTTGACGCAATCCTCAGGGGGTACTTTCACTACCAAGAACGAAGGGCAAAATACTGGTCCGTGGTTTTTCAAAATCATGACCGTCCATTTTCAAGAATTGTTTTTTGGCCAATAGTTTTCCAGAAGTTGGGATGGTCTAGTTTCAAAGATCGGATGGTCTGGACTATGATCATTTCGTTTTTCCCTTTTGGCATCAACATGATTCAGTTATAAATACGCATTTTTATTTTTAGCTTATCAAATCGCTTCATTCTCTGGTGACCTTTATGACGCTAATGTCAGAAATAAGTCGGACATTCTTGAAAAATGGTCGTCATTCCCTTGTGAAATTGGCGGTAAATCAGTACATGACAAAATCCAACATGACTAAAAAATCTTCAGCTTAAAAAAAAAACAAAGAAAAAAACTACACAGTTCTTCCACATATGTCGGATAAAGTTAGCAATTAGTGGTAGAACACCCCGGAAATCACAAGACCCAAATGCACTGACCATAATCAATCATCTATTTTGAGAGGTAGTCAGAGTATATATATCCAAATCCAACGACCTCGCATCCCATAACTACAGTTTTCCGAGTTTGTTTCCTCTTTCAGGTTGCTTGAGACACTGTTTACTTACTTTACAAGTACCAGGAAATGCCAATTTACAGAATTGTTTTTATGCATTAAAATTAGACCCCGAATTTTCAGAAAGTTATTTGTGTTCATTTTTCTTCCAAATGGATAACTCCTCTACTGTGAAGTTATCAGGTAAAACCAGTTATTATACTTTATCATCATGGAACCACCACCTTGTCTCCTTGGGAGATCGGCCATTTCTGCAGTTCTTTACATAGCGGTCATCATCTTCAGGACGTTGCTGCACGAAAGATCGAGATAGAGTCATTCTCCAGGGCAAAATGCAAACTTTTAGACAAGGGAATATTAATCACTAACTCCGGTCCTAAATGTAGAAATTTGTTAAGAAGATTACTTTGCTCCTAAATGAGACATCGATTTCCTTTGTCTCCCACATTTATTATTTTTCTCCCAAACTATCTCGATTGATTGCACACATAATGTGTGCAATCAGTCAATCAATCGGATAGTTTCAAATGTAAATGATTAAAATGAGGTAAAATTCAAGGAAACTAACATGCATTTTTTGACAAATAACTAACTTAACTAATTTCCTTGATATAGGTAAATTAGTTATTTAGCCCTTTCATTTATGACCAGAGGAAGTAGAATATAGTCAGGAGTATGGATATTTCCAATCACTATTGATTGCACACATAACGTGTGCAATCAACCAATCAATAGGATAGTTTCAAATGTAAATGATTAAAATGAGGGATATTCCAAGGAACATAACATTCATTTTTTCACAAATAGCTAACTCAACTAATTTCCTTAATATAGGTAAATTAATTATTTAGCCCTTTCATTTATGACCGGACCAAGTAGAATATAGTCACAAGTAAGGACATTTCCAATCACTTTTTAAGTTAGTGTTTTATCAAAACCTGATTGGAGCAAATGTATATAATATGCCTTGTGGAATCAGTATTCAGCAACATCTAAAGCATGCACATGTATAACTACAGTTGAAATAAATATTGGGAGATAAAATATTCGCAATCACTAAATTCACACCTTCACAGTTGAACTTGAAAGCATTGAGAGAATACTGATGCATATAGAACTAACTGTCATCGCAGGGGACCACGAATCATACAATATATCTGTGTAGGTTCATCAAGCATATTAAGTGTCAGCTCACCACTATCAACTACCAAGGAAATCCTGCTTTATTTTTGTCAGCCTATGAAGTATGAATGACTAGAATTGGCAGGAGTTCATCACGGTATGGTTATGAACTAAGCATAGAAATGAGAATGATGTCAAATTGAAGGACTTCAAACAATAATTTCCCAAAAGAGAGATGAAAACTAAACTTCACATTCATATGTCAAACTGAACAAGTCATCAGGTGGTTTAACAAAAGCTAATGCTCTCCCCCAACACTAAACCCATCAAGAAGAGAAAGGAATTTTGAAATAGATTTTACGGATATGCTAATATGCTGCCACGTTCATATATTAGACCAACCGATCAAGATCATCAACAAACTTTAAGTTGGTGGAGAAAAGAATGCATTCCAACCTTCCTTCCCCCCTCAGACTCAGCAAACTCTAAACAGAGCTATATGACAACATCTCATATTTGAACATCTACATAGAATTTATAGAAAGGTTTGACCATTTCACAGTAACAAAACACACGGTTACTTCTCATAATGAATAGGGAAAAGAATAAAATGGGCAAACAACATAATAAACTCATGTCACTAAAAACCAGCAGAAAAAGCACAAAAGAAAAACAGACTAGAAAATAATAGAGAAAAGTTCTAAAATGGAAAAAACCGCAGTGAAAACTTCTTAATGTTCCCCAGTAACACCATGGTTTTGCTATCTCCTTTGGAAAATGAATCCTTTCATTTTTAAGCAGGAAACGCATTCTCATTTTAGTTGAATCTCCAGCATCTGCATAATGTAAACAACAAACAAACAACAATAAGCCTTTATCCCACTAGGTGGGGTCGGCTACATGGATTGCAAGACGCCATTGTGCTCTATCATTTATCAAGCTTTTAGGAATATTATTAATTAAGAGATTGCATTCAATAACTTCTAAGAGTGTTCTCTTAGGCCTTCCTCTACCTCTCTTAATCGGACTCAAAGTTATATGTTCCACTCTTCTCACTGGTGCCTCCCTTGGTCTTCTTTGTACATGCCTAAACTATCTCAATCAATTTTCTATCATTTTTTCCTCAATAGGTGCCACCCTCACTTTTTCGCGTACGTGCTCATTTCGAATTTTATCTTTACGTGTATGTCCACACATCCATCGTAACATTCTCATCTGCATAATGTAATGATATAAAAAATGTAAGGCACCCAAGAAGAGAAAGCACTTTCGTTTAAACCAACCAAAATGCCATGGCCGTCTTGTTCTCACGCAATGCAGCTTCATGAGCCAGTAACATGCAGCTTTTTTCAATCACTACTTTTTCAATCACGTTTTTTATAGTTTCCATTTCATTCTCACCAACACGATTGCTATCCTTTACCTTCTTCCAATTGGGTATTTTTTCTCCCTCACCAGTGGGTCACCGTTCTGAGGTTTCTACTTCTTATTTCTCTCTCTCTCTCTCTCTCTGATTTTTTTTGTTTTTTTGGGGAATATAAGGCTATGATCAAAACCGTGCAAAAGAAAGCATAATTTGATCGTGTCAGTGAGTGAAAAATCCCAACACCCAAGTGGTGGATTGTTGAGATCTAAGGTTTCTATTTCAACTTCCCCAAAATATCTTGGTTCCCATTGCTTTGCTGTTGTACATGTCTAAGGTAAGTTAGATTATCTTTGCGAGTGAAACAGCACCCGATGCACTTGGAAGCTAACAATTTTTGACACAGCCCTTGTGGATGCTGTAACTTCCGTCTTTTAGCAGGCAGACTGCTCCAGACAGTAGAAAACAATAGATTAGAGTTTGGAATTAAATGAAACGTCACTTTCACTGTTAAACTTTGTTTGTCAAATTCTCTATTTCTAAACACTTTCATCTAGTTCTTTCCATGGCTAACAAAGAAAAGAAGGGTACCACCATTAACACTTTTATCTACTCCACTCTTGATACCACCATTAACACTTTTATCTACTCCACTTTTCTCAATTTCTCAAGAGTGGAGTAGATAAAAGTTACTCCTCTAATCCTATTTATGTATCACTTCCATTATTTTCATTGAAACCAAGGAAAACCTTAACCTCATTATAACTCTGTTTAAAAATTCAGCAAGTTTTTAACTTTACTCCTATTAAATATACCTACTTTAAAATAAAATACTCTAGTATTTAATAAACTTCCTTATATTTAATAGGACAAAATAGTAAAGATGAACAAAATAATCATTGAGGTGTCTTATAAAAAAGAACGAAACAAACATTCTCTTTCTATCCTATAAATAAAACTAGAGGAGTAAGAGTCCTTTTTCTTCTCCCTCGTGCATTAGCAAGCTTAGGAATACAAAAGACAAATTGAAACAGCAAAACCTATTCACACCGCATGAAGCTCTAACAGTCTGATGCATAAAAGGAAGAAGGAAATGGCATTTGGGTTGATGGTAATGAAGGTGCTTTATGCTGTGTGCCTTTCATGAATGACATTTTTTTGGGGTCATTCTTGAATGATGAAGATCCAATTAAAATGAGAGCCCTTTTCCCACTTTAAATGAGAGGATCCGTTTCCATCTCCTTGTCCTATATAAGTAAGAGGTTAACCACATCAAAAAAAGACATGTTCAATAGAGCAAGTGAATTTACTTTTCCAGACATCAGTGGAGCTTAAAACAACTATTCAATGGCACACTCTTTCCTTCGCATCTTAGTAAGAGTAAGCAATAATAATCATGTATCATCACAACAAAGAAATCACCAACTTAATTAACAAGATCCAAAGAAATAGTGAATAAAAGCATGAATAACAGGAAACTAAATGTACCCATCATAAATGAAACTAGACGTACCAAAAACATCCAATGAAAGGCTGTGCTATAACAAAAACAAACAATAGGTTGTGCCCAAAAAAATATTGTATCAAAAGTTTACCACAAAACAAAGTAATAAGGTCTAGAAAAACTAGCATTCAACCCCCCTCCAAAACACATACCTAGACAAATATGCCCATTGCTGTAGATATGGGGATGCAATGGAGCTGGATGCAAAAAAATGACCTGTTAAACGCACATAATAAAAGTCAGAATAGAACAGCATTAAGAAACCGGATCTCTCAATTTTGAGATAAATTGACGGAATAAATTTCTCTAGAACTCCACCATAAAACCTAACAAATCGTCCACCATGGTGAATGTCACATCATGTCAGAATATGAGGACATCTGTAAACTATACTCACTGATTCATTCACCTTCACATTTGCTTCTTCACAGAAGATTCAGTGACTGTGACCCTCCAAACTACAAGTTTTCCCATGATAGTTGGCAAGTGAATCGCACCAAATGTGAACAGAGATACTCCATATGCAAGATACGTAAAGGAACAGCAACTTATTTTGAAAAATTAACTTTTTGCCTCAGCATCCATATGAATCTAGTGAAAAGGATAAATAAATCAGTAATTCGTTCCTCCTTTCACCAATACTTGTGGACATTTTGTACACCTCCCTTCTGATTTCTTTGGCTTTATCAAAGTCCACAAAAGAACCTTTCCTCTCTTAAAGTATTGTCTTGCTCATTTTTGCAGCTGAAAAAGAAAGTAAAAAGGGAGCTGGTTGCAAGATAGAAATCAACTCATTACGCATTAATACATATTCCATCTCGTTATTCAATAGGTGGATGAAATCTCCGATTTATCTCCCATATGTGCTGTCATGGCCCAAAAGATAGAATTGTCCAATCCAATGGAGAAGGAAGAGGCAGTGGACTCGAAATATTCATGATCTGCATGCTTTCCAAATTGTCATAAATTCTCTCTTTTCTGTTATTTTCATGCTGCGTTGGTGTTAACTGAACTTTTAAAGAATTTAATAGTTAGTTTCTTGGCCACATAAAATCCTCTCCCTTCTGTTATTTTATCTTTTCTTACATTTAGAGATCAACTGAGTAACTGTGCGGAGAAAGAAGCAAAAGTGAAGATGCATAAGACGGTGCTATTGACATGGCACAACATTTACCATGGATGGAAGTTTTATGGCTTGATCAGCAAATATTTAGAGGTGTCGTTGACATGGCACAACATTTACTATGGATGGAAGTTTTCTAGCTTAATCAACAAATTTTTAGAGAAATTGATTGGATCAATTTACCCAAAATTTGAAAAGACCCAATTCCCAGCAATAGTGAATGCCAGACATCATTACAGAGTAGGATTCACAACCTGTGGAGCTTCCATGGGATAATGCTCGGGAAAGTCAACTTGAAGCTGATAGGTTTCATTGGCATAAAGTGTCCCAGGAGCACCAGTCACTTCAACAACCCACCTTTGAGAAATATCAATAAAAGCAATTTAACAGAACATGGGGAGACAGGTGAGCACTCAATCGATAAACCAAATTAAAAACAAGGGCAAGGGGGGCGGACGAATCGTCAAAAGCGAGATTAAGCCAGAACCAAATAAAAAAAGCCCGCTAAATCAATTAGACTAGGAAGCCCCGTGCGCGCGACTACCAGAAAACTCAAGCAACAGCCAAAAATTTAAAAAAAAATTATTTCTTATGTATTAACAAAGAAACAAATCCGGAGATGAATATGAAGAAAATGAAAGAAAAAAGAGAATACCTCTGGAGATTGTCAGTGACTCTGTGTTTGAAACCAGTGGGAGGATTAACCTGCCACTCGACGAGTTCCTTCTGAAGCCTATTGCAGGCAATCTTACTGAGAGCCTTAAGATGAGAGTCAAAATAGAACAAGGTAAACAAAACAATCGATACAAAATGGAAAACAGGGCAAAGAAAATGGAACAAACTAGGGCTAACCTTGCGAGCTACAGCAGAAGAAGAACTGGTCATTATTTTTTGCGCGTTATGATGGTAAATTGGAGAACTCGGGGAAGAGAGGTTGTGAAATGTAATTGCGAGACGAAGATGGTTATAGACTATAGTTTTACGAAAGGAACAAATAGATACCGGCCACCACGGTTTCTCAGTTCCATCTTACGCGCCCATTTATACTTTTAATTATTCGGTTTTTTCCCAGTATTACTCGATTTGTTCAAAATTAAAATTTATGTATCCTTTGCATGTAACAATTTTGAAAATGAAAAAGTTGCATGCTTTAAAATTAAGAAATTCGTCTAATTCGTTTTATAATTAATAATTATATTTTAATAAAGATTTTTCTGCCTTTTTTTTTAATGGATTTGTAGCCTTGTCATTTTGACAGGGACGGTAAAATTTCTTCAAAGGAGTTCCGACAAACAAAAATTTTCCATGAAAGGAAAAATATTAACATAAATTCAAAAGGCATCTCTGATTTCATACCAATAATTACTTTATCTTTTCTTTTTGAACCAGACAGGAAGCCAATTAGAGTAGTTGAAATGGTGCTCTACAATGCCCCACCTATTATCATCCACTATCTTAGAACAGCAAGGGGTGGATGATCATAGTAGCACATTCAACAACTTTTCTATTGGCAAAATTAGAGTAGCAAATAACAGTTTACGGGTAACAAAAGCAATCTAGCTCCCTCGTACAGCGTATATATAATACTAGAGAAAAGATGAAAGACAGGCTCCTACACAATCTGTGAACCCGATCTTCGTCTGCCATCCCTTCTCTTGATATATTTGGACAACATGAAGGCTTGAATCTCGTTCCTAGCAGATGGCATTGCCACTGTTCTGCCTTTGTAACTGAAACCAAAGGCCAAGTTACCATGCCAACCCACTTGCCGCTTGCCCTTCTGATCTCTCAGAGCCGTCTATATCAAGTTGCATATGCCCAAGAGTAAGTGGCTTCCATCTTTTTTTTTTTTTTTTGGTAGCCCAATTAAAGTTGCTCCTTTTGTTCTAGCAAGACTTTTCCTGTAGTCACTGAACAGTTTTTTTTTTTTTTTTAACCAGCAATAGTCATGAATAGGTTAATATATTAGCCAACAGGTACTTGAAATGGGATAGAAATTAAATGAATATATTTTAAATTTTATATATTAAAATTATATAATTTATGGGAATCATTATCTAATATTTTATCATCATATTAACTTGCATCAACTTTGTCATAATAGAGATTGGTTTTCAACACCCATATCTAGCTGTTATGTTAACTTTTGTTGGGTTGTTCACCCTAAGTGGATCAAAGGCCAATAAATAAATAAATATATATATATATATATATAGCCCAACTAGAGTGGGGCTTTATAATAATATTGCAGAGATTTGAGTATTTATGTGTAATAATATTGGGGCTAGAATTGTAATATTCCCATAAGCCATTTTAAATGTTGGTGGGAATGGTTTTTCCTGCATGTTCTCCATACTAATCGTGGTGTGGGTGCTTTACATGGGAGACAAATGATCAGAAAATTTTTTTTTTTTTTTAGTGTGCATACATAAGGATCTCTGGCTCTTTCTTTGTTTTTCATTTCCTATGTATTTGATGAGTCAAAGAATCAAGTTTGATCTTGTGACTCCGTTCCCAAATTTCATACAACATTCATCCAGTACATCATCTAAGATAAGTTTCCTCCTCCAAAATTTAAGATTGATATCAAAGCTTAATTATTCCTATGCTGTGTTTTTTGTGTATAATGATGAGACTTTGATTCACTTACTCTATATATATATATATATATATGCAAATCTACCTGCTCCATTTTTTTTTTCCACTTATTAGTTTTCATACACGTGCCTCTATCTATTTTTTTATCATTGTTCCAATGAAATAAACATGTTTATATGTTTCTTGGTTGATACAAATGTTTTATATATGGCTACACACTTTCTTATGTGTTCTACATGCAATATAAGGTGTTGAAAGTTACAATCGTAAACAAACCAAAAAATGAGTATTTGAAAATGATTTTTTTTTTGGTAAGTGGATTGCATAAATGTTTAGAGCTTAAAAAAAAGAAAAAAAAACAAGAATGCATGAAATGAAAATCAGATGGAGGAGATACAACCTTTGAAAGTTTTCAGGTTTGATAGACCCGACTTGCCGGTGTTACTAGGTCAATCTAACTCAACTGGAGGTCAATGACAAATGAAACACAATGTTTCAGTCATCCAAAGCAAAAAAAAAAAATGTTTGCTTAAAAAAATTTTAGATTGACAAGCCTAAAAGCCTTCAAACATTAAAAAAAAAAAGAATTTTTTGTAATGGGCTTGCCAGCCCAATCCAAAAAAAAATGAAGAGTAGGTCCACAAGTCAAGTAAAGAATACCCAAACAAGTTTGAATTATAATTAATAATAAATAATTTGAATTAAAAAATTTATATTAATAGTAAAGACACGTGGCATGTGGGACCCACAAGCACATGATGGACCCTACCTTGAAGTTGTTGGTGCATGTCATCACGCAAAGTGTGATGAGCACGTTTCACTTCAAGAATGGAATTTTCTTTTTTTTTATTTTTTTAGAATTGTTTATCCAAAATGTTTTTAGTAAAACGTGAAGGAGATTGAGACTTCCAATAAGGTTTGTCTTCAAAAAGTCCTAAATTCAAGATCTTCATATTTGATATTCTATTCGCCTATATTTGAGACAAAATTAAAGTTCATTTTTGAGTTACTCAATGCATTTTATAAGTATAATCATTTTTAAAAATTCTTAAAAATTTTATATCTTTCTCTTTTTAGGAAAACATAAAGCAAGAGGCTTCTAACAGTACTAATAACTCAAAAAATTATTTAGTTGGCATTGAATATCTGGATGAGCTAGATTATGAACCTCTTATTGAGGATTCTGACCCGAAACCCTTCGAAGAGGAAGAAGAGGACTATGAACCCTAGATTGAGGATTCTGATCCTGAAGAATCTCTTAATGTTGATCTCGAAGATGTGCCAGAAGAATATAAAGAGATGCATATGATGATGAGACTAAAATATCAATCAGAAAGTGATGAGAATCTTCGAGACAAAGATGAAGATGTGAACAACCTTTCACTCTTTTAATGATTGAAGATATAACTAAGAGAGATATTAAAGGAATTAAAAGGCCAAATCACATTTCCCTAATAGTAAGAGCATATTCAAGCTTCATAACAAGAGAAGAAGAAGCCTTGGTTGTGGGAAAAATTTTTAAACTTCGAAAAGAACTTATGCAACATAACAAGCAAAACAAGTCGTATGTGATAAATCCTCTATAGAATAAACCCACTAAAGGGATGAGAGTGCAAGAAAATATAAAGGCATAATTAAGAGTTGTCTTTTTAGGTATGTACATTAAAAAAATGTAAAATAACTTCCTATTTTTTTCTTTAGAATTTGTGCTTTGTCATATATATTGTTTTAAAACCTTGATGATTTATGAAGCATGTTATTTTTTTTATTATGATAGATTTTTGTATATGCTTCGTTTGAATGGGAGTTCTTAAATGATGAGTCGTTTAAGATCAAATATAATGATTATAAAAATATTTATAAAATTCTTTATAGATGGTAGTGATTTTGTTAGAATCAATGTGATGAAAAAATACAAACGTAGCCTCCTGATCATTAACCTAATAGTGTTATTATCACTCTAATAAAGAGTAATACAAATATAAGACATTGTATATTTCTCATAAGTATTTTGTTCCTGGTCTAGTATAGAAAAATTATTAATGTCGAATAGTTTTGTATCAGGACTAAGAATGGCAAAAAAAAATTATCACTGAATTGAATAAAGGCAACAAGTTAAATGAAGTCAATTAGGATATATGGCACTGTAAGGTGTCATATATTTTCAAAGAGCGAGATGCCGTTGACTTATGAACTATGGTTATAGTTGAGCTAAAGGTAAGAAACTAACTTAAATATGAGAGACAAGAATCATATGTGGCTTGGAAATGAAAGAGTAATATTGCATGAATAACACTTCTAGATGCTTTAGCAAACGATCTAATGTGTGAATTTGAAAAGCACTCCATAGCTCAAGCCATATGGACCACCTTAAAAGAGAATTTGGGGGGCACATCAATCACCAAATTGAAAAGGCTGACAATCAAGTTTGATACTTACAAGCTGAAGTTGGATAATCCTATGCAAAATGCCTTAAGGTGATAGCCAACATGATTCATGAACTTAAGGAAGTCGAGCAAAATGTGTTTAATGAACAATAAATATAGGTTGTAATCAAGTCGCTCCTAACTAGCTGGAGGAGCATATGAAGGTTAACTTAACCCATAATGAAAGCATCATTAACTTTAATGATGTGGCTAAGTATTTGGAGCTAGAGGATGCATGTCTGGAGGCTTACAAGTTATTTGGACAAGCTTACCTTGTCGAAAAGGTGGTCCTTCAGATGCTAAGCCTAAGAGAGGCAAGAAGCAATAAAAGAAGGGTAACAAGACTGGCTTGAAGGTAAAGAATGAAAAACAAACTTTCAAGAAAAAGGGAAAGAAGGGTGGAAAAAAGAGAATGACCTAAAGAAGGTCAAATGCTTTGCCAGTCAGAAAATAAGCTATTTTGCCAAGAATGTCTTAAGAAAAAGTGACATAATCAGGTGCTGTAGATTATGTAAATTCACATTTTTTTTATGTTTCCAGTAATATTTTTCTAATGGAAACTATTTCATCTTCTTGGATTATAGACTTGGGCTCCACAGAACCATGTAACCAAGGATCGTAGATCCTTTAAGAGTATTGTTGATTGCTAAATCAAAGCAAGTGCTTTAAATTGGAAATAATGTGAGGATCAGGTGAAAGGCATTGAAACTTGAAAGTTGATCTTGCGAGGTGGCAAAACCTTAGTTCTCCACGATGTTTTACATGCATTAAACATTCAACGAAACTTATTTCTATTGGTTGCCTTTTAGAATTTAGGTTTTTTGTTAATTTTCATGACAAGGTTGTTTACATTACATACAATTCAATTTTTATGGTGTGTTTTTTCTTTTCAAAAATTTTTTATTATGGATATATTGATAAAGTTTATTTTTATAATTGTTTTTCCACATCTTCCAAAAACATTGATATGAATATCT